GAGCGTTTGGCCGCTGCTCATGGCGGCGCCTCGGCCGCACTGTGATCGGGAGGAGGCACGGGCCGAAAATACACACAATGGTGACGGTGACGAAGTCGTTTTGGTTCAAGCGTTTCACCCTAGCGCCACCACGGCAGCTGGGTCCACCCTCCCGGATGTCTCACCCGCCCCCGTCGTCCTCAGTGACGGCGAGGACGCGCCTCCCCCCACCGCTCCTACCGATGGCGCCCATGCCGCGCCCACATGTTGCACCTGCCTCGAGCCCTTACTCCCTTCCGGGGTGGGGCGCCGGGCGGTCGTGTATTGGCCCGGCTGCCGGCACGCCTACCACTTCGCCTGCCTCGCCAGATCCCGCGCGCAAGTGCACCCTCCACGATGTCCTCTGTGCCGTCATGCCTGGGACCCAGCGCTCGATGCCAGCTTGAGCAGCACTTGCCACGGGCTCCACTTCAACCCCTTCCAAGAATCCGAGCCCAAGCGCGCCACGCCGCCCCCTTCTCCCCCGCCCCAGGGGCGCGGCCGCCTGGCGCCAGCACGGCCCCCCAAGTGGCATTGTCCGGACGGATGCCAACTCCTGGCTGTACGTGCCCCTACTCCTCGCCGCGACAGGCGAGCTCCACGAGGATGCCGCCTTGGCCTGGCAACAAGCCACCGCCACCACACGGTGGTGGGAGCGCGCCCGGCAAGCGCTGACAGCCGCGCCCCCGGTCCCCCTCACCACCCTCCTGGAAGCCCTCCACGCCTGCCCAGCTGCTGGCGCGCTTTCCTCGCACCAGCGCCTTTCCCGACAGGCGGCCGCGCTCCCACCAGGTGCCCAAGCGCATCTGGGCTGGGCAGTTCGCCACCTCTGCGACCCCGACGCGTACGTCCCCGCCGCTGGCCAAGAAGTGCTTCTCCAACTCTATGGTGGCCTTCACCTTGCTGCCGACCTCGACCGGCACTCGGACACCTTCCGAGCGCGCCCGGACCCTCCGGCGCCCATCCAGCTCCCTGCCGATCCCGGCCCCGTGCATCCCGCGGTCGAGACTTCGGCGCCCAGAGAGCCGGCCATTGTCCGGGCTCTGGCCCAACAGGTGGCCCGTGCCCACCGGCCCCCGCCGCGCCGCGGCGGTCGCGGCCGCGGGCGTGGACGACACGCAGCCGCGGCGGACCCTGCTCCCGCAGAGCCTGCCGAGGTCCCAGACCCTCCGCCTCCCCCTCTTCCGCCCTTTCCAAACCCCGCAGCTCTGCTCCAACAAGCGCTCCGCAGCCTTGACGACCTCGACCTCGCCCACACCTTGCGGGTGCGGGTCTCGACGTTCCAAGGTGCGCCCCGGCGCTTGCAGGGGGTCCTTGCCTTTGCGCTCCGCTTGGGCCTCACCGAAATCTGCGACCACCCCGCCAACACGGACCCTGCCCAAGCACGTGGCTGGAAGCTCTTCCTCCTGGCCCCGCGGATGCTTTGCTACCGGTCCCGTCCCGGGGAGCGCGCCGACCCCAGCGACCTCGACCGCCGAGCCACTATGTTCCGGAACGGCCAGTGGCACCAGCTGCTCGGCGAAGCTGCCAGCAGCTTCCACCCCACAGCGCCGTCCTCGAGCGTCCCCTCTGCTGATGCGCGTGCTTCCCGTGCAGCCAGCCTGGCACATCAAGGGGAACTTTCCGCGGCTGCCCGGTCGCTAGTGGCCGAGCCCCTCGCGCCGCTCTCGTCCGCCACCCTGGCCGAGCTGCGCAACCCGTCCCGGCGCCCGCAAGTCCGGCATCGACCCCTCTCGGACGACGTTGCCTCTTTCCAGCCCGATGAGCTGCTCCACGTCGATGCCACCAGATTCCTGCAAAACATCCGCCGGGCCCGCCGCGGGGCGGCCGCTGGTCCGTCTGGCTGCACCAATGAGCACCTGCGGGTCTTGCTCGAGTCTGAATCCGACTCCCGCCTCCTGTGCGACGCGGCCTCGCTCCTGGCCTCGGCGCGGGTGCCTCCCCTCATTATGGACGGCCTCCGAGTCGGCCGCCTTGTTGCCCTCCAGAAAGGCAACGGGCGTGTGCGCGGCCTCGTGATGAGCGACGTGTTCCGCCGGCTGGTCGGCCGGACCTTGGCGCAGCAATTCTCAGCCCAGTTCCAAGAGGCGTGCCACCCCTTTCAGTACGCCCTCAGCACCAAAGCCGGAGCAGAAGGCCTCGCACGCGCCGTCCGGGTCGCGACCGAGCTCGACCCCCGCGCTACCGTGCTGTCGGTCGACGGCGTCGGCGCTTTCGATCATGTCGGACGCCAGTCGATGCTCGGAAGCCTTCTCCGCTCCCCTGCGCTTCGACCCCTCCTCCCCTACGCCCGCCTCTTCTACGGCCAAGACAGCACCTACCTCTGGTGGGACTCTATTGGCGCCTGCCACTCCGTTCAGCAAGCCGAAGGGGGGGAGCAAGGCGACCCACTCATGCCTGCCTTGTTTGCGCTTGCCCAACACCCAGCGCTGCAAGAGACCGCGGCCACGATGCGGTCCGGGGAAGCGCTCTTTGCTTTCCTTGATGACATCTATGTCATTTCGTCGCCTGACCGCACCCACGCGCTCTATTCCACCTTGCGCGTTTCCCTCCGAGGCCACGCGTGCATCGAACTCAACCAAGGTAAGACCCGCATCTGGAATGCGGCTGGGGAAGAGCCGCGCCACCTCCCAGAGCTGCAGCCGGCTGACAGCAACGACCGGGTTTGGGTCGGCGACTGGACTCTGCCCCCTTCGGCGCAAGGCCTCCAGGTCCTGGGCACCCCCATTGGGAGCGCGCAATACGTGCAACATGCTCTTACCGCACCAAACAAGACCTCCTTCTCCACCGCATCCCATGGGTAGAGAACCTGCAGGCCGCCTGGCTGTTGCTCCTTTTCTGCGCAGCCCCCCGGAGCAACTATCTCCTCCGCGTCCTCCCACCGGCGGACACTACAGACTTTGCAGCCGCCCACGACGCCGCGGTGGCACATTGCGTCAGCACCCTGGTGGCGGCAGGCGCGGCCCTTACGGACCTACAGCTACGCCGGGCCCAACTCCCATTGCGCTTGGGGGGGTGCGGCCTGCGCTCGGCCCACCGTTCGCGCCTCGCCGCGTATTGGGCCTCATGGGCCGACACCTTGCCCATCCTCCACTCGCGCCTTCCTCTTGTGGCGGACCGCCTTCTCCAGCTCCTCAACGGCGAGGCCCGCCCACAACCACCCAGCATCCTCGCCGCCTCCCAGGCAGCCCAGCTCCTCCGGAACAGCGGGGCGACTGTCCCACCCTGGGAATCTATCATCGGCGGCCGCCATTTCTCGCACGAAGACCGGACCCCGGGCGATTTCCTGCGGGGGTGGCAACGCGACATCAGTGCAGCCCAGGACTTGGACGAGCTCGCCGCGCTCCTATCTGACCTTTCCCCTCCGGAGCGCGCGCTTCTCCTCTCCCAGGCTGGCCCACACAGCGGCCGCGCAGTCACCACCCTTCCTACCAGCCCGGAATTCCAGCTCGGCAACCCGCATTTCCGCACCTTGCTGCAACGGCGGCTCCGAGCCCCCTTGAGCTGCGGTCCTTCCCGATGTCGGTGTGGCTTGACACTCGACCCTCACGGCGACCACCGTGCCGCATGCGCCACCACTGGCGTCCTCCGGGCACGAGCTGCGCCCATCGAACGCGCGGTCGCCCGCATCTGCCGCGAGGCCGGTGCCCGCGTCGCGGTCAACGTGCCGCTCTCGCGCATGAACCTCGCGGTCCCGGTCACCGACGCACGCCAGATTGAAGTCCTCGCAAACGACTTGCCGCTCTGGCACGGGGCTCAGCTGGCAGTCGACGTGACCCTCGTCAGCCCCCTTGGCCGCACCGGACAGGTGCGCCACGCTTCCGACGCGAACCCGGGCGCGGCGATCCTGGCAGCCTCCCAGCGCAAGCGGGAACACACCTACCCCGAGTTTTCCGGCTCGCGCCGCTGCCACCTAATCATCTTGGGTCTCGAAGTAGGAGGTCGTTGGGGCGAGGAAGCCGCCGACTTCCTCCGAGCCTTGGCGCACGCCCGCGCCCGCACTGCGCCAGCACTCCTCCGCTCGGCGGCAGTTCAGGCCTACGTGCACCGTTGGGCCGGCCTCCTATCCGTCGCGGCGCAGCGCGCCCTGGCCGAGACTCTCCTCGAACTCCCGGCCGCGGCCGCGCCCGGCGTCGATGGGGAGCCCCCGCCGTTCGCCGCGACCCTGGCTGACGTCCGGTGGCATGAACGCCCACCGGATAGTCGCCTCCCGCGGTGACCGGTGTGGCTGTACATAGCCTTCCCCAATGGCAAAGTCCATTGGCGCGTGAGACGCAGAGTGGGTCATGCAGCAGGAGTGTTAGTGAGTAAAAAAAAAATGTAACTAATGTAACTAATGTAACTAATGTAACTAATGTAACTAACAAACTAACAAACTAACTAACAACCTAACTAACCTAACTAACCTAACTAACCTAACTAACCTAACTAACCCAACCAACCTAACCAACCTAACCAACCTAACCAACCTAACCAACCTAACCAACCTAACCAACCTAACCAACCTAACCACCCTAACCACCCTAACTAACCTAACTAACCTAACTAACCTAACCTAACTAACTAACTAACTAACTAACTAACTAACTAACTAACTAACAAACTAACTAACTAACTAAGTAGCTAACTAACTAACTTACTAACTAACTACCTAACTATATGACTATATCGAATGAACGAACGAACGAACCAACAAACCAACGAACCAACTAGATAAAATGAATAAATGAAAAGCATACAATGAAACATACAAACATGCGTACACATATACACACAAAGATACAGAAATCATCATAAGTCTGCACACACAGATATATATATATATATATATACCTACATACATACATATATATATATATGTGTGTGTGTGTGTCTATTTTTCTACACATATACTAACTATATACGATATATGGACATGCAACACGTTTTTTTTTTTAAAAAAATGTGTTTGCATTCATACGATTTTGCCGCGAGCGAAATCCAGGCCTTGGAGCAGGTGGTCCAAGAGCTGCTGCACATGGCGCAGCCACCACCTGCGCCACCAACGGAAGAACTTTTTCAGTCTGCCTCGTTTGTCTTCACCATTTTTCAGTCTTTTTCAGTCATTTTCAGCCTGTTCTCCGACATTGTAAAATTGTCTTGGCTTTCATCTTAGCTTGTCACTGCAATGGCTTACTTCTGAGAAGATCTCAACAGCTTTCACAAAGCACGGGCAAAAGGGGCCCAGAAATGCGACCAGAAGCCGAGAAGCCGAGAAGCCGAGAAGCCCGACACAAGCCGAGAAGCCGAGAAGCCGAGAAGCCGCGAAGTACGACACAAGCCGAGAAGCCGAGACAGCCGAGAAGCCGAGAAGCCGAGAAGCCCGGCACAAGCCGAGAAGCCAAGAAGCCGAGAAGCCGAGAAGCCACCGGACAAGCCGAGAAGCCGAGAAGCCGCGAAGCCGAGGAGCCGCCGGGCAAGCCGAGAAGCCGAGAAGCCGAGAAGCCGCGAAGCCGAGAAGCCGCCGGGCAAGCCGAGAAGCCGAGAAGCCGAGAAGCCGAGAAGCCACCGGACAAGCCGAGAAGCCGAGAAGCCGAGAAGCCGGACCGGACAAGCTGAGACAGTAGCCCTGGAACCCCCTCTGAACACTATGTTGCATCTTCACCATCACAAGACATCAACTCCCCAACCCCCTCTGAACAATACGTTGCACCTTGAGACATCAGCCCCGCCACCCCTTTGAATATATGTTGCATCTTCGAAGATCAAGCCAGCGACCCCCTCTGAACACTACCTCGCCCCGTTAAACTTCTACATTCATTGAAGATCTTCAATGAGGGTTGAATTCTCCCAGCCCCTTCAAACTTCTACATTCATCGAAGATCTTCAATGAGGGTTTTAATTCTCCCAGCCCCGTTAAACTTCTACATTCATTGACGATCTTCAATGAGGGTTTAATTCTCCCAGCCTCGTTAAACTTCTACCTTCATTGACGATCTTCAATGAGGGTTTAATTCTCCCAGCCCCGTTAAACTTCTACATTCATTGACGATCTTCAATGAGGTTTTAATTCTCCTCAGCCCCGTTAGACTTCTACATTCATTGACGATCTTCAATGAGGGTTTAATTCTCCCCAGCCCCGTTAAACTTCTACATTCATTGAAGATCTTCAATGAGGGTTTAATTCTCCCAGCCCCGTTAAACTTCTACATTCATGGACGATCTTCAATGATCTTCAATGAGGGTTTAATTCTCCCCAGCCCCGTTAAACTTCTACATTCATTGACGACTTCAATGAGGGTTTAATTCTCCCAGCCCCGTTAAACTTCTACATTCATGGACGATCTTCAATGAGGGTTTAGTTCTCCCGAGCCCCGTTAAACTTCTACATTCATTGACGATCTTCAATGAGAGTTTAATTCTCCCCACCCCCGTTAAACTTCTACATTCATGACGATCTTCAATAGAGTTTAATTCTCCCCAGCCCCGTTAGACTTCTACATTCATTGACGATCTTCAATGAGGTTTTAATTCTCCCCACCCCCGTTAAACTTCTACATTCACTGACGATCTTCAACGAGGGTTTAATTCTCCCAGCCCCGTTTAACTTCTGCATTCATGGACGATCTTCAATGAGGGTTTAATTCTCCCCAGCCCCGTTAAACTTCTACATTCATGGACGATCTTCAATGAGGGTTTAATTCTCCCCACCCCCGTTAAACTTCTACATTCATGGACGATCTTCAATAAGGGTTTTATTCTCCTCAGCCCCGTTAAACTTCTACATTCATGGACGATCTTGAATGAGGGTTTAATTCTCCCAGCCCCGTTAAACTTCTACATTCATGGCCGATCTTAAATGAGGGTTTAATTCTCCCCAGCCCCGTTAAACTTCTACCCATCGTTAAACTTCTACATTCATGATCTTCAATGAGGGTTTCTTTCAATGAGGGTTTAATTCTCCCAGCCCCGTTAAACTTCTACATTCATTGACGATCTTCAATGAGGGTTTAATTCTCCCAGCCCCGTTAAACTTCTACATTCATCGAAGATCTTCAATGAGGGTTTAATTCTCCCAGCCCCGTTAAACTTCTACATTCATTGACGATCTTCAATGAGGGTTTAATTCTCCCAGCCCCGTTAAACTTCTACATTCATGGACGATCTTCAATGAGGGTTTAATTCTCCCAGCCCCGTTAAACTTCTACATTCATTGACGATCTTCAATGAGGGTTTAATTCTCCCCAGCCCCGTTAAACTTCTACATTCATGGACGATCTTCAATGAGGGTTTAATTCTCCCGAATTAAACTTCTACATTCATGGACGATCTTCAATGAGGTTTAATTCTCCCCAGCCCCGTTAGACTTCTACATTCATTGACGATCTTCAATGAGGTTTTAATTCTCCCCACCCCCGTTAAACTTCTACATTCACTGACGATCTTCAATGAGGGTTTAATTCTCCCCAGCCCCGTTAAACTTCTACATTCATGGACGATCTTCAATGAGGGTTTAATTCTCCCCAGCCCCGTTAAACTTCTACATTCACTGACGATCTTCAATGAGGGTTTAATTCTCCCCAGCCCCGTTAAACTTCTACATTCATGGACGATCTTCAATAAGGGTTTAATTCTTTCAGCCCCGTTATATATAAACTTCTACATTCATTGACGATCTTCAATGGGGGTTTCCGTGTCGCGCAGCGACGCAACGCCGTGTGCACTCTTGCAGAAGGAAGCGTCGCAGCGCCAACAGCGTCGCAGCGTCGCTCCCGCGTCGCAGCGTCGCAGCGTCGCAGCGCCAACAGCGTCGCAGCGTCGCTCCCGCGACGCAGCGTCGCAGCGTCGCAGCGCCAACAGCGTCGCAGCGTCGCTCCCGCGTCGCAGCGTCGCAGCGTCGCAGCGTCGGCGTCGCAGCGTCGCAGCGCCAACAGCGTCGCAGCGTCACTCCAGCGTCGCAGCGTCGCAGCGCCAACAGCGTCGCAGCGTCACTGGCCCAACGGCAGCGTCGCAGCGTCGCAGCGTCGCAGCGTCGCAGCGTCCAGCCCCCGCCCCCGGGAGCGTCACAGCGCAACGTCGGAAACCCACGCTTCGGCCCCCTTTGCCCCTGCACTGAGCTTTCATTTGAAGTTGTCACGAGTGTTTTTCTTGCTGATTTTGCAGAATTTTGCGGAAGATGGAAAACCTTAAGACGACCGTGCCAATTAGACCTTCCTTGGGAATGATCATTTTTGGATTTGTTTTATGGGCAGCCTGATTTCCCTTGGAAACGTTTGAAGTGGGAAGCGGAGCGGAGCGGTCACATGTCACCGAGCCGTCACGTGATTTGCCAGATTTGCTATGTCAGCTTTGTGACATCATGTGACACGACGCGAAAGATTTACGACGTGATGCCGTGATGCCAGGTTCCCGTTGTTTTTCCCCAAAGAGTTCTCGCCTGCATCTCTCTGCGATCCGGAGACATTGCCCCTGCGAGCTTTGACCAATGGAGACTTTGCCTTTGGCCCCGGATGGGTGGACTACCGAGGTGGACTGGTCGATCATAGAAAGAGAGATCGACCTTGCTGGATGACTTTGGGGTGTTTCTATAGTTGACATGTTTTCACATCTTTTCAGTGCTCACTGTTCACATCTTTTCTGCTAGTCAGCTAGTCACTTCTTTGGCTTCAATATTTTGAAATATTTTCACACACACACACACATATATATATATATTCGATGGAGTCACCAACTGCCCGTTGCTGAAGATTAGTTTGATTTTATGCAATCGCTTCACTGACTGCCACTTCTGTGTCTCCATGGGTTGCTGCGTGTTATGCGGTGAAGGTGTTCGCGTGCCGCACATGTCCATGGAAACCATCTTGAAGCGGATCAGGCAGGCTTTTGCATTCAGTAATTACCGTCCCATTCCAATCAAAGTCATGTGGATGCGATGTTTCGATATGTTTCGTGGGTTTCAAATCTTACGGCCTCGCTCTTGGCAGGCGGAAAAACGTGCAGCTTTCGCGATGGGTGGTAAATTTGGGTGCTGCCGATGGCCGCTGTGGGCGTGGAACAGAGCCTTTGGCCAGTTTGTCTTGAGTCGTCTTTGCATGTTTTTGGTGGAGGTAGTCTAGGTCTAGGTAGTCCCCACAGTTTGGATCAATTTGGATGATACCCAGTGTGACAATTGTATACAATTGTGACATGTCCCTAGTAACCCCTGCGAGTTGCACTGCATGATGCGACTGTCAGGAGGTCCTTGATCCTGCCAACTGCTTGGTGGAGGAACAGAATTTCCATGGCTTGCTGATCGAGGGGAACGAGTCCTTGGCTTTGGCAACACATGCGAGGCGCGTTTTTCCAGATTGACTCAGATTGATCGACTTGTTCTTTGTTCAAATTATATAGTGGGAAGATGTCGGAAGTATGAACCGTTTGAGGGATCCGCGAGTTCTTGACATTTTGTTGACGTTTTTTGGAAGTTGTGCAGGTTGGGAGATGACCGGCTGAATGATGTGTTGGTCCGCGCGGCTGCCATCACACCTTCCACAGTAGCAGACCTGGTGCTCGGGCAGTTGCCCGTCAATGAGGTTGGGTGAAACTTCTCATACTTTTCATCCAATCATTTGGGATGTGTGCTGCAAGTGCTCTTATATGCTTTACAGAGTTTCATCATGTTTCACCGCTTTTCACGATTCTTCTGCAGCCTTTTGTAGGATTTTCATTCCGCTTTCTTGTTCTATCCAGATGCACGTGTCAAATGCCTTGAGAGTCTTTGAGTCAAATAAGGCCAACGAACCATCTCCAGTTGCTATCTTTGGATATGAGCCTTTGAAAACTTTGTGTTTTGAAGATTTTTGAAGGAAATTCTTCGGATTTAGGATGATTTAGGTGGACCTGCTGAAAATCGACGTGGATTCCATTCCGCATGATGCACTCCTGGTGGCTTTGCTATCTTCCGGCCTGCGTGCCAAGGCGGGCACCGGATACCACTGGCACAATCTGCCAATCCACCGGAGGCGGTGCCAATTTGGCACATCCGGCACCGGCTTTTTGCACCGGCCGCGCCTCGACCAGGTGCTCCACACGGAGATCGGCCCATGGTTTCCACCACACGCGCAGTACTGGCGAGACTATGCATCAATCTCAAATCTCAAAATATGTTGAGACTTGAGACTCATTAAGACACATTTCTCAAACAGACTTTCAGTATCTTTCAGTTCTGGCAAGTTAGACATGCTCAGATTCTTTCAGACTCCTCCAATCTATCTTTCGGCCTATCTCCGACTCTTTCAACTTTCACTGATTTTGAAAGCCGATGTCGGGTCTTCATGGATCTTCACAATTCTCAAATATTCTCAATGGATTTCTCCAACAAAGCTTGACGCAGTGCCGCAGTGCAGCTGAGGGTCTATCAGAGCCGCTGGTCTACACTCCTCGCCCAGAAATCATTGGTTTGAATCCCTCACTCTCGAGGGTGGATGAGGCACAGAGCAAAACCTTTTTCATCTTGCAAATTCTTATGATTCTTGCATGCAAGCGCTGTTGCCATTTGTTATCCTTATCATTCCGCCGACGACATTCTCACAGGCCAGTTTGTAAGGGTTGATGTCATCCAGCTCAGTCTCATGAATATTTATTTTCTAGTTCCTTCGGATTGCATAAGAAGCCGCTCACCTATTGCATGTGCTGCTGGACCAACTGCACAACCGGCACAAGCATCCTACATCATCACATCATCCTACTGGTAGTGATTGTATATGATTGCATAAATATATATATATTTTTATATATATGTTATCGTAATATACATTAATCTTACAGCATCCATCACTATCCATCCTGTCTTGCCTGTATCGACACGATTCGCCTCGTGTATCACCACGTGCACCGGTGTACCGCGTTAGGTGGTGAAACCTTTCGGCTACGAGCTGCTCCAGGTGGAGCTCTACGATGCCATTTGGATTCGCAAGGACTATCTGGACGCCTTTCCTGGCAGTCACCTGGCAATCCATCACACATTTCGCTGCATCATTTTACATCATTTGGCATCGTTGGATTTTGTTATGCCTGTTATGCCTTGAAAACGTTGAAACTTTGCTGAAGAGTCAGCAAGTCCTTTTGACAAGGAACATCAAGGAACCCCATGTTGACTGCGCGTGGGTGGCTTTTAGATAGAGACGTTGCGAAAAAGCCAGGTGATCACGATCTCTATGCCAAGTGGTTGGTTGGCGCTTTCTGCAATCCTGGTTTTCTGCGCTTTGGGGAAAACTTCAGGTTCGGCCCGGGCCTCAGTTCTGAGATGTTCTGAGACTCAGAGAGAGCCTTTGAGATTGCATGCATGCATATATATAATATATATATATATATAAGCATTTATTTATACAGCATACACGTACGCGAACTTCTCTTTCCCAAGTGTCAGTCTTCAAGCTGCGTTAAGACTTTCAAGCCCCTTTTGACAGCTGAGGCCGCTACGATTATCGTGCGTGGGCAAATCCAGAAGTGCCATGGGAGGCATTTGGAAATATGTGGAATGATGTGGAATGTGTTCCCTGGTCAGTCTCAATTATGTTTCGGTTTCCTTTTGGGAAATGTCTATGGAAGAGTTGCAGATGTTGCAGGAACGTGGTGAAGCGATGCGAAGCTTGTTGCAGCGTGCGCAAGGACCTAGTGGTTGGCACTTGAAACTGGAGGAAAAGTCCGGCGGCAGACATCTCGGAGACCTCATGCCCGGCCACATTGATCACCGGAGCCAGTTTGTTAACTTGATAGAGATGATAGAGTCTTGATATGTCTTGATAGTTTGTCAACTTGGTGCTGCTTCCTTTCAAGAGCCTGCGCTGAAGAACCAATCTGATCGTCGTCAGGTCATGAGCAGGCCAGGACGTGGCGCGAGGAGAGGTGGGAGATGGTGGGAGCAACATGGAACATTCTTAATTATATACCATCTACCCCCATCCTACCCCCATTCCATACCATCACTCAAAATATTCAAACAGAATCAGATACTGTCGGGGACAGAGAGAGGTGTGAGCAGTAGACACATGTCCCTGATGCAGTTCTGCAATGTGTTGCCAAATGACCTTGGCTTGAACTTGGTTGGAGGCACGTGAGCTCGGAAAGCGACAATCCCAGGCATGCGCGCAGATTTCCAGGGTTGTCCTGGGGTTGTCCTTCATTAAGGGAATTGAAAGTAGAATTTAGCTGAACAAACCTATTCGGCCACCTGCATTACAGATTTAGTGTTTGGCAGTTTGGTATTTTTTTTCTGCTGAGTGGCTTTCACAGCAGACAGAATTGCATAGAACCGAAGAGTTTGCATAGTCATTCTCGCTGACACGGGAGAAATATGGAACATGATGGAACATGTTGCGGAAAAGTGTATAGTTATAGTTTATACAGTTTATACAGTCTGCAGTCAACACGCAGGTGTATTGAGCCTAGCCTTGCAAGCTTTCAGAATCCACGCCACAATGCTCAAGGAAGACTTTTACCTTGCCAACCACCTCCGTGTCGCATGATACACAGTGACATTCCATGCAGGTGGCCCTGCAGGCGCACCATATTGGTAAAAGATATAAAAGATAAACAATCTATAACAAATATAACAATCTAAGATTAGCAAAGTCCCTGAAAATACTAGCACCAGCTCCATAGCATGTCATGATGCATGTTTGTCTCCACGCCGGTCCTAATTTCTCCTATCCCCTCTACAAAGATTGTCACTGAGCTGCGAACACATTTCATCTTTCGCTTGGTGCAATCCTCGGTGCCATGTGTGAGCCTGGGCAGTTCGAGGCAAGTTGTCACGCTGTCGTACTTTGCCACCGCCCTGCTGTTGTCACTGCTGTCGACTCGTTCCCTTCGTTCTCTTCGTTCCCTTCGCTCGTCAGGAGTTGCTGCAAGCGTTGGCGCTGGAGCAAGAAAGACTGCTGAGGCGAGCGGACGAGGAGCCGGAGATAGCCGGAGTGTCAGCATGGTGCCAATTGATGCCATGTGCACCTTTATACACTCAACTTATCTCAACTTGAGGATGTTCCATGCAATTGCGTTTCAACGTTTTGCTAGGGTTGACAGATGTTGAAACTCGTTATGTCGGATACTGTCAAGTATTTCGAAGCTCTGTCCTGCTGACACCAGGAGCACCAAGCATGGAGGCGGACGCTCCAAGAAAGCTTTCGTTGTCTCACACAAAGAGAACTCGCTCAAGAAGGCAAGTCGGAAGATCACTACCAAGGGAAATGTTGGATCATAAGTACTGTCTTCGAGGCCAGTGGGCCAAATGATACCAAATGGATCCAAATGGATCCAAATGAAATAAATGAAACACAGGGTCGACACAGTGTCGATGTGTCGACCCGTCTCTGGTGCCAGGTGTGTCTGAGGTCTTTGCCCAGTTGCTCGACGTGCGTCCGGGCGACCAACCAATCCTGCCTGAGGACATCGATCCTGTGCCGATTTGTTTGGACTGCCTGGACCGCCTGGACTCGGAGAAACTTAGCTCCCGAAAGGCTTTTGAACTCTTTCCAACATTTTTTTTATTCAACAAACATCTTGGAACCAAGGGCTCCGGGTTTTCGTCGGCTTAAGAGCTTGACGCATCTTGACATCTCAGGTCAAGTGAGGAAGAAAAAGTCAGCAAGGTGTTGTCTGTCACGGAGTCTCGTGCATCGGGCAGGGGTCCATCTCCGCAATCGGTGGCAGAGCTGCGAAGCCTCATGAGCGACGACTCCAATCATTGGTTTCGCTGCACGATATTCCCATGGCTCGACTACGTTGCAGGGATTGCTGTCCCTCAGAGAGTTGCATAGATCATCATAGTCATAGAGCCTTTACGAATCTTTACAAGGGCTTTGCGGCTGTATCTGACTCACCTTAACTGGATCCCGTACAAACGTCACCAGGGTGCGTAGATGCAAAACGCAAAGGCAGCATAGTACACCCAATGCAGCCCGAGGGCCATGTGATGCCATGTGATGCCATGTGATGCCATTTGTTATCCGTGTTGTCAGAATAGCCGTTTTCAATTGATATATATCTAATATATATATACTATATACTGCTTCATTTGTTTGAGGTTTTGCTCAACACCATCTTGATGCTGACGCAGTTGGAACTGGATGGTCGTGCTGCTGCAGTTGTTCTGGGCCTGGAATCGCGTGATTTCACACATACGCTGCAAGTGATGCAGGTTCCCTGCAGCCATCTGCTTGGATTTTTGGGGTTTTCCGGTGCATGGACGAATTATGTTTGTCACTGGGTTACTGGCAGTTTGACAAGCATGTCCAGGTTTGTGCTTTGGTTGGGGTGTATGTGTGGATAGTTGGGCGGATAGTTAGGGAACAACCCCGGCAACCCGCGCAGGGCTTTGAAGCTTCCTTCGTTTTTTTCTACATTGTCGAGCTCTTGTTGAGGCATGCTGCAACTAAATACTAAAGCCGCCACAAACACGCTGCATGATCCATGGCATCACTTTGATATATGATATGTTTTGGGTCAGCGTTTCAATTGCAGTAGTGCTGGACCGGTCGTCCGAGTTGCGCTTTCCACTTGGGGACAGTTGGTACTTGGATGGGTTTCTGCAGTTTCCCAACGGTCAGGATATGGGTAGAGCGTCTATCTTTCTTCAAGGAGAGTGGCTGTGACTCAGTGGACCATGTGGACCGTGCAGTCTATGCGGTCTATGTTAAAGTATGTCTAAGTATGTCTAAGTATGTCTTTGTGTGCCATGTTGGCCATGTTGGCCATGTTGGCCATGTTGGCACATGTTGCATTACTCTGTGCTTTCATGTGCTTTCCATCTCCATCTCCATAGTGACGTGATTACTGCGACATATTGCGACTTGTTCTTCCTGTTTGAAGGATGTGCCCAATCTCTTCGACTGCGGTTTGGTGATTCTCGGCATTGTGGACGTTGTTGTCAGCAGTCCGTTTGATGGGGTCAAGAGCCCTGTGGAGGACTTCGAAGTCCGTGTCATAAGCCCCCATTTCAGATTCGAACACTTTTCGGCATTTATTTGGTCATTGGCAGATACAGACCTAGCATTTGAATGAGGATTGTACAACAGGATATGGAGGACAACAACATATGGACCATATGGATTGTACATCTGAATGGGTCGTCCAGGGCTTCCGACCAGCTTTCTTCACGGCAATTCAGTGCTGCTGCTCGCAGGATCAGCCCAGCTTGAAGCTGATGCGAAGCTTAAAGTCCATGCGTGCCCTCCGTTTGGTGCGAACCTTCCGCTTTGTGCGTGGTTTGCGGCTGCTGGTCACTGCCTGCAAATGTTTCATTCCCTCCTTGTTTTGGTCTATGGTTCCTTGGTTAGCATTGTTGAGCTTAGCCAATCTGGGAATCAATTCGTCAGAACCCCAGTAATCCTTCTGGGAGGTTGAGCATGTATCCTGCCATCAGCACTGTGACTTCGGCTCAAGCTCCCACAAAAGTGCTAGGTTATGCTTTTGCATAGTAGCTTTTACGCCAGGTTGAGGTTGGGATGTCATGGCTCTGCTAAGAGATATACATGTATAATTTGGCTAAGAGATATGCATGTAGTCGGTCGGGCGCTCATAGATGGCCGTATGGTTTCGTGCACTTTCATCTCAGTTTTGACACAAATGTATGAATGGTGATATGGCAAATCCTCCGCGCTGGCCATTCGAAATGCATGTACAACTTCACATGTCCATGTTTATATCTCGGCGTGTCATATTTTGACGTCCAAAAAAACTACTTCAGTTGAGACACTTTCAGGTGTATTTACTTTCAGATCTCATGACGTACCATCCCAGATGTGTTGAATTCCAAGAAAAGATCTCATGACGTACCATCCCAGATGTGTTGAATTCCAAGAAAAGATCTCATGACGTACCATCCCAGATGTGTTGAATTCCAAGAAAAGATCTCATGACGTACCATCCCAGATGTGTTGAATTCCAAGAAAAGATCTCATGACGTACCATCCCAGATGTGTTGAATTCCAAGAAAAGATCTCATGACGTACCATCCCAGATGTGTTGAATTCCAAGAAAAGATCTCATGACGTACCATCCCAGATGTGTTGAATTCCAAGAAAAGATCTCATGACGTATGACGTACCATCCCAGATGTGTTGAATTCCAAGAAAAGATCTCATGACGTACCATCCCAGATGTGTTGAATTCCAAGAAAAGATCTCATGACGTACCATCCCAGATGTGTTGAATTCCAAGAAAAGATCTCATGACGTACCATCCCAGATGTGTTGAATTCCCAAAAGATCTCATGACGTACCATCCCAGATGTGAATTCCAAGAAAAGATCTCATGACGTACCATCCCAGATGTGTTGAATTCCAAGAAAAGATCTCATGACGTACCATCCCAGATGTGTTGAATTCCAAGAAAAGATCTCATGACGTACCATCCCAGATGTGTTGAATTCCAAGAAAAGATCTCATGACGTACCATCCCAGATGTGTTGAATTCCAGAAAAGATCTCATGACGTACCATCCCAGATGTGTTGAATTCCAAGAAAAGATCTCATGACGTACCATCCCAGATGTGTTGAATTCCAAGAAAAGATCTCATGACGTACCATCCCAGATGTGTTGAATTCCAAGAAAAGATCTCATGACATAACATCCCAGATGTGTTCAAGTCCAAAGAACGTTATTACACCCCCCCCCACCGCCCCCCACCTCCCACCCCCCAACCAACACCACGCCAAAAAAAACAACAAAAAAAGACAAAAAAAGAGGTTTCACTGAGGCGAAACACAGTAAAAAAGGAAAAAAATACGCTCTCGCTGTGGCGCCAGTGCAGTGAACTAGCAAAAACACTGTTTCGTGACGCGGCCTTCTGCACGCGCCCAGCCATGTAGTCTGCAGGCTTTGTGTAAAGACTTCTCTGTGTAAAAACTTCTGTGGGTGTTTGCGTGTAACAGTTCCTCTCTGTAAAACTTCGCCACTGTAAAAGCTTTTGTGTGTAAAGGATATCTGTGTGTAAATGCGGCTGTCTGTGAAAGTTGCTCTGTGTACAGGTTTCTCTGCATAAAATCTTCTATGCATAAATGCGTTTGCGTGTAAAAGTTGCTCCGTGTAAAGGCTTCTCTGTATAAAACATTCTTTGCGTAAAAGCCTCTGCGTGTACAAGCTGCTATGTGCAAAGGCTTCTCTGTGTAAAATGCTGCTCTGTGCAAAGGCTTTTCTGTGCCAAAGCTGCTCTGTGTCAAGGCGTCTCAGTGTGAAATTTTGTATGCGGAAAGGCGTTTGTGTGTAAAAGTCGCTGTGTGTAAAAGCTGTTCTGTGTAAAAGCCTATGTATGAGTCAAGTTGCGGCTGGAAATGCGAAGGGAGAGGAAGATATCAAGATAGTGCGACCGATGTTTGTTCGAAGCAGAATTGCGGTTTCAAGTCCCTTGGCTAGAGCAAGCGTTTTCTCTGCAGGAAAAGTTGGAGAGACGGCAGTTTAAGATGGATGCGCGACTTCTAAGATTCATTGTTTCGTTTAGGTTTGAATTTCCCTTCTCGCAGCTGACCTGACCATGTCTGTTTTCTTGACGCAAATCCAGATGTTGATGTGCTTCCGCAGCTGCCAAGTTGAAGATGAATGGCTGTTGCCCAATGCAGCTGGCTACTGTACTGCTACTGAGCTGCTTTCTTCCATCTTGCGTTTAGTGAACGAAATCGATTGTTTCACCAGCAGAATCGCGGTTCAGAGGCCTGAGCAAGAATCATGTTCGTGGAAAAAGCGGGATCCACGACAGCTAATGTGGACTTGGGGCTTGTTGGATCTATCTTTTTCCTGTCTTGCAGCGTGCCTTGCTTCTAGTCTTTGACGCTGTATTCAGACGTTGCCAGTCGCGATGCTAAAGAGGTCATCCCAGTCATCTGAATAGATGGCATGGGGGCATACAGGATCATATATCATAAAAACATTTCATTATCATTCATTCTGCATTTATGCATCAACAGCCTCATCATGATTTTTCATATTTCAACATCAGTCATCATCCGTCATCTTCATACCTTCTTTTGATCCACTCCCTTCTGCTGCTCTGTCGAGCCACACTGTCGTCTAGTTTTTAAGCAAGGAACATGGTGTAGCTAATCGGTAGCTAACCTTTTTAAAGTTAGAGTTAGGGGTTGCAAAATCACAGCTTGAAGGAGTTTCAAGAAGTATGGTTTGACGGCCTAGTTGCTACGCTTGTCGCGTTTCAATTTGTAGTGGCTGTCAAAGGTGTCCAATGCTGGGATTTGGGCGTAGGCTTAACTTCGTTCATGCCGGAGTTTTCACACGTTTTTTTTTTGACCTAAAGTATGAGTGAGTGAGCAGATATAGGGTGGATTGTTTTAATTCTGCCTGGCCTCACGGCACAAGGTTCTCCTCGCTGTTTTCATGACAATGGGGGCATTGACCCTTGGAACAACACTCCAAACGTTCATCACCGATGATGCCGTGGAGCTTGATGCAAAGCTTTGGGTGTGGAGCCGCTATGGTACTGCTTTCCGGGCAATTTACACAATGTATGAAGCCTTGATTTGCTGAAGGCGATTTTTAGTTCCCCACCGGCCAATCCACCATTTTGGAATTACGCATCTATTGGCAAAAACTTTTTTTCAGCGGCTGCAAGCTACACAGTCCGAGGAAGTGACCTTTGCCGGGAATTGGTGGCTAGGCGCCAGGTTGGGGGAAGGCAACCGCTGGTGCTTTAGTTGCGTCGATTCGGGAGAATGCTGGTGAGGACTTGGGCTCAAATGGGCAGACAGTAGATCATAGCTTCCTTGTCCTTTCTTACAGTTCATGCGGGTTCAAAGGCGTGTTGTCGAAAAGCGGCCCGCCAAGGCCAACGAATGCAAGGCCAGTCATTGAGTCGGTCAACCCCCTTTTTGCGATCTTCTACATTGGCTACATTACTGTTGCTGGGATATTCTCGCAGAGCTTTATTTATTTTATTTTTTAATTCCGCAGTATGTTGACACTTGGGGTTCTTAAGTTGAAAGGTAAAGCCGGTGTTTCATTGTGGGCGCAGGAGGTGCGCAATTTGATTTTCAAAAAAGCAACCACTTGCAGCCACTTGCCAGTGGCTGCGAGAGGCTGCGAGTGGCTGCGAGTGGCTGCAAGTGGCTGCAAGTGGCTGCTTGTGGCTGCGGGGAAAGTGGTTGCTTGTGGCTGCAGGGAGAGTGGCTGCTTTGTAGCTGCGGGGCAAGTGGCGGCAAGTGGCATGAAGTGACTTGAGGTGGCTGCAAGTGGCTGCAAGTGGCTGCTTGTGGCTGCGGGGAAAGTGGTTGCTTGTGGCTGCAGGGAAAGTGGCTGCTTGTAGCTGCGGGGCAAGTGGCGGCAAGTGGCATGAAGTGACTTGAGGTGGCTGCAAGTGGCTGCAAGTGGCTGCTTGTGGCTGCAAGTGGCTGCTTGTGGCTGCAAGTGGCTGCTTGGGCAAGTGGCTTGAAGTGGCCTGAAGTGGCCGCGTGGCTGCGTGTGGCTGCTTGTGGCTGCTTGTGGTTGCTTGTGGCTGCGGGGGTAAGTGGCTGCTTGTGGCTGCTTGTGGCTGCTTGTGGCTGCAAGTGGCTGCAAGTGGCTGCAAGTGGCTGCAAGTGGTTGCAAGTGGCTACGTGGCTGCTTGTCCGAGCAGCTGTTTTCTTTCCAAGTTTCAAAACTTGAAAGAAAAAGGAATGGTTTTGCATTTGTCACTTAACTTCTTTTCAGATTTGAACGCGCGAGATGCCAAGTGCCAAGGAATGATGGCGTAAACCATCATTAAACAACCCAAAAGAATTACATAAGAATTACTAAACAGGTAGTCGTAAGTTCGCTAGCTGCAAGTGAGCGCTGGCCCTCAACTACAAACAATCTGGCCCTTTGTTTTTTGTCTGAACTTTCATGCATCTTGTGTGAGTTTGGTTGCTATGGAGTAAGACTTGAGCCTTAACATTCAATCGTCTTGAGTGCTACGGTGTAAGATCGTGCGCTTGACATTCAGTCATCTTGGACGCTACACTCGAAGAACTTGTCCTTAACTTTGAACATCTTGCATGATATGCTCTAAGGCTCTAAGACCTTGTCCTTGAATTACAAACATCTTGGATGTCACGTTGTAAGGCCTTGCCCTTAATTTTCAAACACCTTTGATGCTACGGCGTCAGGTCTTGACCCCAAGGTCCAAACATGCTTGATGCTAAGCTGTAAGATCCTCTCCTTAACTTTCCAGCATCTTGGATGTTACGGTGTAACATCTTGTCCGTAACTTTCAAACATGTTTGATGCTGCTGAAAGGCCTTGTCCTTAACTTTCAATACGCTACAAGTTCTCATCCTTGCCGGACAAAGACAAAAACCGCAACAGCAAAAGCAAGATTAACATTCTGCTTCCTTTAACCAATCCACTGATGGTCGACTTCAAAACTCCGCAGGGCCTGGTTCATAACATTTGACATATATGTATGACGATGGAATTCGAACCTCCACCAGTTAACATATACCCTTTGCGTCAATGATGAAATGGTCAATAAACAAAGTTATAAATTATAAGCACACCCAAAGATGTTATGACCAACGAAACGACGACTTACAAACCACGCTTGTTAATCACCTGCTAAGGTAAACCATCATTAAACAACCCACAAGAGTTACTAAACAGGTAGTCGTAAGTTCGCTGGCTGCAAGTGAGCGCTGGCCTCAAATACTAACGATCTGGCCCTTTGTTTTTCTCTGAAACAGCTTTTATACCTATGTTTCAATCGGTGCGGCAGCTGCTGGTGGATGGCTGCTAGCAAGCTACTACAGATAATCTTGGTTAAAATCGTGTTTATCGAAGGTGGTCGCATCCGTACCCGGCTTATTTGGCAACCCTTCCGGCGCAAAAGTTCCTGGATCTTCCGTTTCTGAACGAAGTCTGGCACGAAACGTTGGCCCGGAGACCGCTCTTGCAGAGTTGCGTTCTCGCGTGCGTGCCGTGCCCATTTCTGAGGCTATGATACGTTTTCCGTGGCAAGCGCAAGAGAGTCGTCACTTTCGGAGGGTCAGCACCACCAGCATGCGCAGGACATCGGACATCCGAGTGGCAGGCGCAGTACGGCGTGCGCGTTGCTAAAACGTTGGTAGGCGTGGGCCGAACTAAGACGTGCTTCGGGTGTCATTGCCATTTCCTTGGTGGACGCAATATTTGGTGAATTTGGACGATGCTTTTGGTTATGTGAGATTGTCGCCATTTCTGGATTTGGCGCTTGGTGATCATGTTCGTGGCAGGTGCAGAACCCTAGAGACCTCGACAGCAAAGCGATTGAAACCTATATCAATATAGGTAAAACGCTTTTCCGATATTTCGCCTGTACTTTAGTGGTGCGCGCAGTACTTGGTGAAATTCCACCTTGTGCTCGCCCAACTCTCTCGTCACCTTGTGTGTGTTGGATCGCTCTTGATATGGCGCTGTGCTCGTTGTGAAATTGCTCGCGGAACCATTTCGTTACTTTGTGGGTGTCAGATCGCTCTCGTTGTGGCGCGGTGCTCCTTTTGATATCGCTCGTGCAACCCTCTGGGCCCCTCGGATTCTAGAGATCCTGGCATAGATGACAAAGAGATCGTGTGAGTTCTTTGGAAGTCCTTCTATGACGATCTTGCGTTCCTTGTGGGAAGGTCTTGTGACGTGGGGCCCGTGGTGAAATCCCCCAGAAGTCCTTTGCATGAAGATCTTGAAGATATCCCGTGCTAGAGGTGCTTATCTGAAAGCTCCTCTCGGATTCTTCAGGAGGTTCTTGTCAAATATCTTGTAAGATCGATCTTAGGATGCTCCTAGGAGGCTCTTGTATGAAGACGTTGTAAGAAATTCTAAAAGGCCCTTTTGGGACGACTTCGTGACATTCTTTGAGGGGTCCTGGTTTGAGGTCCCGGTCAGGAGCTTTTGTTCGTATATGCTCTCCTCAACACTGTTTTGGGTTTCTGCCCACGGTAATTTCCTGCTTTCTTTCCGTTTGAAGGTGAAACTATGGAAGTTGCGCGGGGTTTATTTGTTTTCATGTCGGACGGATGCAGGTTATTGTGTTTGCTTTGATACGGGTCATCTCTGCGCTTTTTTTGAAAGACCCTTGGCCTGAAATTTGACACACCCGGTATGGGGACTTTGTTTGGCCTTGCTTGTTGGGATGTCATGGTTGTGTTGGCAGACAGTTTTCAGTTTGGCCTACCTGAGCGGTTGTAAGATGTTTTATTTGACATGCCCTGAAATTTGGCCGTGAGCCGTGTACATGCGACGTGTGCAGAGAGAGCATGTGCACATACGAATGCGGCCGCAGCTGCCCCAAGGACACATTAGATGCCGCGCAGAGCGATGCAGATTTGGCAGTGGTGGACAAGAAAGAGCGCCGCAGAGTGCATCTTGCCTCCGGGGCGATGAACTTGTTTGATTTGTTGGTTTCTTTGAATAGCAAGAAGGGTTGTTGTCATGCTTGCACTTGTTTCGTTCTTGCTGTCGTGAAAAATCATTTTTGCAAATTATATTTGATTAGGCCGTGCGGTCGCACAGTTCGAGGGTTTCTGGCCAGGTATGTGACAAAGCTAGAGGCCCTCTTTGAAGCCATTGATACCAAGAAGAGTGGCATGATCAATGAGAAACAATTATCGCAAATCACTCGATGCCGAATGTCCACGCTTACCTTGAGACTTTGGGCTTGGATGTGAAGGACTGCGGTGCTTGGGGAGTTGGTCAGTGTGACAAATTCATGTCCACAGATGGCCCTATATAGGCCCTATAGCCTACAGTGAAATCCACCTTGCGCTTCAGGAGAGTGCCGCGTTGTTCCACTTGTTAGATGATGGCGATGGAGAAGTAACAAGAGAAGAATTTATCAATGGCATCATGCATTGCAAAGGCGAAGCACGCGCGATTGACCAAGTCATCATGCATGCAGAGCTGAAGCTTGTGACCAAGAGGTTGGAAGGTTTGTGTAAACACATGGGCTGCAAAAAGAAATCTTCTTTATTATCTCCCATGCAACGGAGACAAAAAGCCTTCAAAGAAAAGGCAGAACATTTGAAGACTTTCAGACAGTCTCAAAGTGACATGAGGTTACGTTGATTCAGATGCAACCTGAAGGGTTCCAAATTTGAAAGTTGATTTCCACTTTCCCAGTTCCTCTGTTTGCCACTTTCCACGCAATTCTTTGCCCTACCACCCCGCGCTAGCGCCTGCAGCAGCCACAGAAGTTTCGCCTGGTAGCATATGGTCGCATATTGTGTGTCACTGCGGCGGCCACTCTTGCATGCCTGTGTTTCACACCGGACCGTATGCCCGAACATGTCCGTCTATATGTCAGAAGGCATGTGGCAGCCCATAGGTGCGAACACTTGTCACTGCGCAGGTCCAGAGTCGCTTCGTAGTATTTTTCTTTTCCGGGCCCAACACATGCCATGGAATCATATGTGGCAAGATGCGCCATTACAAGGGTCAGTCAATATGTTCATGGACATATCAGCACACCTGCGTCAATCTGGATGTCAAACTATATTATTTATCAGCCAAGCAATCAAGATGGGAGCTACTATCTCAGTAGCTTGGTCGGCGTTTACGTTACTAGAAAAAATCCGTGCTGTATGTCAGCCATTGATACCTATAGTTTGGCTTGATTCCGATATGAGTTCATGTGTGGTGCCTCACCGGCTGCGGGGTGCGCAGGGCGAGCGCGCGAGCATTTGACACGCGCGCGCGCGAGACGCACGAGTAAAGACATTCGCGCCCGCGATGTGGGCGAGCAAGGCGCGGGTCAACATGCATGCGCGCGCGTGCGCTCGCAAAAAAGCTCACATAAGTTTGCTGCACGGGCAAATAAAGTCAACAAATCCAATTTTGGAGAGCTTATTATTTGCGCGCGTGGTGAGCTTATGTGAGCTTCTTGCGCGTGCGCATGTGTCCGAAGTGCGCGCTTATTCGCGCGTTCTTTGTTCCCGCGCCTTGCTTGCGCGCCTTGCCCACGCACCTCGCGCGCCTGTTTTGCTTGCGTGTCTCGCGCCCGCCCGTGTTTAATGCTCGCGCGCATGCTCGCGCGTGATTTCAGCTGGAAATGTTTCATTTGTTTAAAACATGACAACGTATTTATTTTGTTGTTGCACATTTTTTTTCAATGGTGATCGATCCCAAATTCCTTGTAAAGAGTTTTAATTGCGAAGAGAAACTGAACTTTTTATTCGCGAAAGTTTCGCGGAAGTTGGATATTATGGATCATTCTTGTATATAATTTGTCACGGGCTACCTCCCTGCTGCCCAGGAGAAGGTGCTGGAGAATGTTTGGTTGTGGTTCAGTTCTCTGTTTGGTGTTATTTCCCTCAATAGGTAGCAGCCGAGCTTCCAGAGGTGAGGCTTTGCCAAAGCCAAATACCACGGTCCTGAAGCGCATCCTTGTACCTGCCACTGGTACTGCCATGTACTGTACTGCTCAATGTTACTTCTGAAGTCTCAAAGAAAAAACCCAAACGCAGCAGCCAAGCTTCCAAACGCCAAGCTCCAAGAAACTGCTGATGGCTGGGGTCTGCGGATAAGGATATTTTCGCGAAGGTTTTGCGAAAGTTCTGCAAACAAAGGAGCTAGCGAGAGTCAAAGTGCATGTTGGAGGGGGTGGCCCAGGAAACCTTGCAAAAAGTAACCTGGTCAGCAACAATCTGTCCTGAGAAGGCGTTCCGTGATGCTAGCTACATGTTTACAATGCTGTCAAGAAGTGATCTGTGATAAGCTGGCATAATTTGGCAGGTGATGAATGAAGCTTCATAAAAGGCATTGTTGCCCAACATGGGCCCCGTGAAAGATAAACATGGAGCACGCGAAAGTTTCGTACGCACGCGATGTGTACTGGCGCTTCCTTGTAGAAATTTCAATGGTTTTCTGAGTATGTGGCCCCCGCTCGAAGTGGAGCAACTTGTTTGACCCAAACTTGAAGGATCATGGGGGAAAAAGACAAGCGAGTAGTCCCCAGGGATGCTAAGAACATGCTTCGAAATCCTCAATGTCTTTTTGAGGCTGGCATCACATCTCACGTGGTATCTGTGCAAGTATGCCCGAGAATTCCCAAAGGGAAACCAGGCATGGGCCAGCTTCCAGAGTTGCCGTGCGAGAAAGAAGCTAACTGCCTGAAGCGGGGCGGGGTGGAAATGGCAATTAGTTTGACCTTGGCTGTTTTCAGTTTGGAGTTTTAAAGCGACATAAACCAGAAAATTGGCAGTCTGCAGTCGCGGCCCACAATTTTCAATGTGCCTGGAGGATCCTGGAGGGTGCTTGACTGAACAGATGGCATTGAGTTGGTGCATAGTGAAGGCGTTGCGGCTCTGAAAAGTCACGGGGCCACGTTGGAAACATATTAGCAACACCGCGGGGAGTTTTGCATGCACAAGGATTTTCAAATTAGATCCGAACATGGTAGATTTTGATCAATCACAGGTGATTAGTCAAAGCGATGAGGGCCTTTTGCGCTGCATGCTTGTTCCTGCTCAGGGCAGCTTCCCAGGACGGTGTTGGAACGAAAGAGTTGGGCCGTTTACGAGCGATTTTTTAAACTGATTGCTGGAGCGGCTGGAGGACTGCGATGATGATGTGCCCAACATGATGCTACTGCAGACCCACCAGGTGGAACCAGAGCGGGGTTCCATCCTTCTGGACAAGAAGGACGACACGGCCAAAAGTATCTTCAAACAGGAAGACCTGGTGATGGCTTATGCAGCTTGGCTCAGACTGGGAGCGGTGATCCTTCACCATCCTGCCTTGACCGTGCCGTATGTTTTTTTGCTTTGACGCATCGCGCTGACCTGATCTGATTTGGGCTTTGTTGAAGCAGATGCGTTGCTCCCTGCTACCAAGTACCACGACAAGCGATAGGAAGTGTTGCGCCATCTATTGACGGCGTGAAGGCACCAAAGCTGAAAGCCGAGCCCTTCTGTGAGGATTCGCAAATGGACTTGTAAGATTTTTCGCAAAGCTGGGGTGTGCAGGGAGGCGCGACGCAGTTGAGAGAGCCATTCATGAGGCGCAGTGCTTCGTGAGAGCAAAGTTATCGGTGGCAAGCGTAGCATTCGGTTTTGGAACAGTGGTGAAAGTCAGTGCAGGCCCCGCCCCCGGCCAATTCCGACAACAACACTTTGCATATTTTCGCTTTCGTTTTTACAACAGCACGTTGGCTGAAAGGAAGGAAAGAGGAGGCGTTTTTTTTTATTTATTGTTTTCATGTTTCTATTTGAGCTAACTGGTCAATTAATCTAACGCATCTGTCATATCTAGCTTGTTTGTGTTTTCAGTCTTGTTCATTTTGAATATACTCGCTTACCTTATTTCTATTATGTTGCTTTCTGTGTTGTTTTTGTCTTGTCTCTCTTGTCTATCTGGGCTATCTTGCCTATCTGGCTTATTTTGTCTTTCCAGTTTGCCTTTCTATCATAATATGCATGTCTTGTCTTCCGGCAACCGGCAACCGGCAACCGGCGCCAGCGCCGACAGAAAAAGTACCCCTTTCCATCTGCCCTGATCTGATCTTATGCCGGTCTTTTATCCAATCTTTATCTTGTGCTTCTCCAATCTATTTTCTTACCCATACCCCGATCTCTGGGTTTCTTTCCTACAACCACGGCAAAGATGAACGAAAGTATCTGGTCTTGTCTTGCCTTATCTTACCTGATTGAGCCAGATCTTTAGATTCTATCTACCAATGGTTCTTCATTCTTTCTTGGCTATTTATTGTTCTTAGCTCTCTTCGATCTATCTATGAAGTTTTCGGCATCTTGCCTTGTCCATTTTTTTAAGTCTCCTGTCTAATCTGCTGTTTCTGGTTTGTTTTTTGATGATATCTACCTTGTCCATCCTTATGCATCGTGTCTTCCTTATCCATCCAATTTACTTCATGCATTGTTTCTGTCTTGTCAATCTGGTCTCTTGTGCCTATGTTGTTTTTCCTGTCTATCCCGTCTATCGCTCTGATCTGATTCTGCCTGTCTTTCATCCGGTCTTTGTCTTATGTTTCTCCTATCTATATTTTCCTACCTATCTCCCGATCTCTTTGATTTGCCGGCAATCATTATGCGCCCGCCAGCAATGCTGCAAAGAATCGGGGCATACGAACTTATAGCTCCAAATGTTTGGCTGCCCCGACCAAGCTAATTCCAAAAAGTGAACGTTATTTTCCAAATGCAAGAAAAACATTTAGCCAGTTTGAGAACCGTGAAAAAACAACCGCACTTGGAAAACATGGCAGAAAACAAAAGGCAAACAGCAAACCAGACTCGGCAATTCTACATAATGTTTTGCATGCTTTGCAGTTATTTTATATTTTTTTCGCGTTTACCTGGTATTTTCTGTATTTCTTTGGTTTTTCTGCATCTTTTGGTCATTTTTTTGCATTTATTCCCCACCTGCCAGGTGAGGGTTGTTAGATTTTATCAGAGCTGTTCTCCTCCTCCTCCGCCTCCTCACCCGCCGCCTCCTCCTCGCAGTCCAGATCCCAGTGGGCACAGCCGGACCTCCACCGCGAGCTCCAGATCCCAGTGGGCACTGCCGGACCTCAACCGCGAGTTGCAGATCGCAGTGGGCACTGCCGGACCTCAACCGCGAGTTGCAGATCGCAGTGGGCACTGCCGGACCTCAACCGCGACTTCCAGGTCGCAGTGGGCACTGCCGGACCTCAACCCGACTTCCAGATTGCAGGGGGCACTGCCGGACCTCAACCGCAGTGGGCACTGCCGGACCTCAACGGGAAGAATATCAGAAAAGATTTCAGATAGAATGTCAGAAGATATGCCAGATAGAATGCCAGAAAGAATGTCAGAAAGAATGTCAGAAGATATGCCAGACAGAATGTCAGAAGATATGCCAGAAAGAATGTCAGAAGATATATCAGATAGAATGTCAGAAGATATGCCAGATAGAATGCCAGAAGAAATGTCAGAAGATATGCCAGATAGAATGTCAGATGGAATGCCAGAAGATATGCCAGATAAAATGCCATGAGATATGCCAGATAGAATGCCAGAAGATATGCCAGATAGAATGTCAGAAGATATGCCAGATAGAGTGCCAGAAGATATGCCAGAACATATTGCAGAAGA